AAAAAAGGTTATGCCACAGTTCATGGATTTAGTTCAGCTACTAACAAATAAAATATTTGTATTAAGTTTCGGGACATGAAGGACTGAGGATAACTAAAGGGTGTCAGAGGTCTTTATATATCCTTTGCCAGAAATGGGAGAAAGAAACCCATCAGCAAAGGATATTTTCTCTTTACCAGAGAGAAGGTGGTATGAACTGAAAAGGTTAGACAAGCTGGTCATATGGTTTGATGCACTAGAATCAATGATCCAACGAATTTTATGATTACCTGAAACTGAAGCATGGTTTGCAGAAGCAAGAATACCCAAGTGAGCAAATACTGATGATGATGAAGCGTTGCCTGAAGAGTAAGATGTAGAAATAATAGCCCCCAAGTGATTTAACAGCCTTTCATACATTTCAAATTCTGCCTTCACTGTTGCCAACTGTTCAATGGTTAACTTCTCTTCACTCTCCTTACTTCCTCCTTCTGGTACTATGGCAATATTAGCTGTCTTAGGCTTTCCTGTCTAACTGCCCTTCTTAAATCGTTGTTATTCTTAAACTAGTAAGGAAGATCATGATGAAGCTTCCAGCATCTATCATTCGTATGCCTCGGTTTCTTGCCATATTCACATACCTGCTCCTTCATCTCAGTTGAACCCTTCGGCTTTATTCCAACATGTGCAAAGTGTTCCATAGGTGGACTCTGTAACTGAACCTGCTGCCTACTCTCCTCACTGCTCACCATAGCATATGCCTAGGCAAGACTAACCTCATCTTTGGCCAGAATATTTTGCCTAATGATGTCAAACTCTGGGTTGAGTCCAGTAAGAAATTCAAAAACCCTGTTTCTTTCCACCAACTTACTAAACATTTATGCATCATTGTTACTCACCCATACAACAGTCCCCATAACCTCAATTTCCTGTCATAAGGATTTCAATGTAGAATAGTAGATTGCCACACTCTTCTCCCCCTGTCTTAGGTTCTTCAAATCACATTTCAGCTTGTAGACTTTAGCCACATTCAACTTCTGTGAATAAGTTTCAATAACACTGTCCCAGATCTCCTTGGATAAGGACATCCAGAGATAGTGCTGACTTACATGAGGCTGCATAGAGTTGACCAACCATCCTATGACAGTATAGTTCTCTTGCATCCATTTCTCAAATTCAGGGTCTATCTCTTCGAGTTTCACTTTACTGCCTATGAGGTACCCTAATTTTCCTCTACTATAGACATAAATCCTTATAGTTTGTGCCCAAGCAAGATAATTTGTCCCATCTAGCTTAATTGTGGTCACACCAGTCAAAACGGAATCTACTGAGCCAAGCCCAAAAACCGGCACCTGCTTGAACTCACGTCTGTACTGCTCCATTAATCAAACAAAAAATCAAATAACCATAAATTTGGTATTTATAAACTTACTTGAAGTCAAACCAGTACCTAGATGCTTGAAAACTAGGGTTTCACTACACCTGGCTACTGGAGAGAAAGAAAGAAGATGCAGCCCCTCCTACCAGAGCTTCCCAATCTCTTCCAAACCGGAACCACCCTCTTTTAGAAGTCAAAAGACACCTCCCAAGCATAGAGCGCCACACCCAAAGATTCACTTTTACTTGTAACTTCGAAAATCTCTAATCGGCTAGGGTTTTGGGCAGAAACAGCACAGCACCACTTCTTGGCAATATCCGACTAGATTTAAACTATCCAAACCCTCTACCACCTAGGCAAAAGATCCTCTGAACTAAAGAGAACCCATCTCTCCATACACTCTCTTAATTGAAGGATGTATGGGAAAAGACAAAGAAGAAAAGAAGGAAGAAAGAAGCTTGATCTGATACCAAGATGTGAATCAATCCTCTAAAACTGTTGTAAACTTGGAAAAAATAGAGAGGAAAAGGAAGAAAAGAAGAGAACAGCAGTACAAGAGAAAGAAGATGGAGAAAAGAGGAGGAAGAAGAAGAAGAGTCTGAATGTCTCCTCCCTCCCTTCTCTAGTCCTTTTACTAAACTTCAATATTAACATAATTACAAGTATACCCTTAAGTGGGCGGACAGCTAGACAGTAACATAAGGAGAACTAGCAAAAAGAAATAGCAGGCCCATTAGCTAACAGATAAACATACTACTAGAAAAGATACTAGGGCCCTTTAGGCCCAGTCTCTTTACAGATTTTTTAAGATAAACTACCATTAGGATTGAAAGACTACGCATGGCCGTCCCCAATACATTCATCAAGGACCATCCCACCCAACAGTTTCGAAAGATTAGACACAAGAGATTTTAGAATCTCTAAAATCCATCCTTAAACCTAGGTCCAATTCAGCCCAGAGGATGAAGAATGTTGAACGAAAATCAAACAAAGGTCTCTCTTTGAGGTTAGATAAAAAATATAGAGAAGGAAAGAAGACTTCCAAAGGAGACTCCCTAATCCAAATCTCTTCCCAAAATTTCGTCTTATAACAAAAGGACAAGTCATACCTAATATGATTGAGAAACAAAGGGAGAAGACCATGCATGTGGCTTTCCAGGGTGTAGAAAGAGTAGCTCTATGCATCAAACGAGCATCCCAACCAATCTCTGAGAACCCATGAATGCTAGTAACTACCTTCTGCCAAACCTTTTCATTCTCCCTAGGGTACCTCCACAACCACTGACCCAAAAGATATAGATTCTTATTACTCAAATTGTTATTAAATTTGCATGCCATATATTTTGTTTTTATCTTACATACTTTACAACCTCTTGTTTCCAAGGCATTGGCCCATAAGCTTACTTTTGCACTAAATACTCTGTTAATTTCATCAATTAAAACAATGTTGTCAACAAAAAACATGCACCATGGAACCTCCCCTGAATACGTTTAGTCAATTTATCCATGACTAATGCAAATAAATACAGGCACACAAATCCATCATATAAGAAAAATAATCCTAAAGGGTTTGATCACCTTCTTGGTGATTAAAGAAGGCCCAAATTAACTGATAATCTGATAGATCCATTTATTGTTGTTACTTTCCAAATACATCTTTCTTATTCCCATATCCATATTGATGTATCCAGGAAGATTAACCCACTATTGGTTTTTGGTTCCATAGAACTCTATAACTAAGTCTTACTTTGTACCCAATTTGATTAGATAGAGGTACCAAATTCTGGTTTTTTGTGAGTCGAGTACTTCAATTTTCCTCTAGCATTAGGGAAATTTTCAATAAATTTAGCCTAAATGTCACATACAGATAGATAGAGAGATAGAGAAGTGTTTGTTCTCTTTTTTTGTAACTTTTTTATTTTTTATTCCAAGTCATTTTTAGAGCAACCAATAGATACTCCAATTCCCCTCATTATTATCTCCTAAATTATTGATTCTTATTATTTTTTATCCTCTCCCTTCATTAGAGCCCGACCCATTTATACTCCTGATTTATAGGAACTTCTAAATCATCTCCAACAGCCCTCTATTTTCACCACTTTCCCATAAAAATAGGGCCCTAGTTAGTAAGATTTGGTTTAGCAACTAACACTTAACTTACTTTAATTAATTAAAGTAGGAAATTATTAGACAAGTTTCATTAATTAACTTACAAATTTAGTTAACCTAGAAAATGATTATATAATTCAAAAGATTAATTAAATCTTATGGGCCAATGCCTTGGAAACAAGAGAAAAGTAAGAAAGTTTTAGTTTCAAAATTAAATCTTACAATTTGATATCCATTTAGATTTCATTTCAAAAGATTAATTACTAAAGCTTATTTATTAGGTGACCAACTAATTAAACATAAACAAGAAAAAAGTATGAAAATTTTAGTTTCACAATTAAACCCATAAGCTTAATTTTGCATTTAAATCAACCCAAGCCCAACCCTAAGTCTTAAACCTCAAGCTCAAGCTTGGCCCAACTTAAGGTTAAGCCCAAGTTTACCAACCAAAGCCCACGCGAGCTTAACTCAACACTCCAATTTCCAGGTAGAATAGATTGATAATATGTAGATATGTATATTGGACATGTTACACAAAATGATAATAGCAACATCTAAGAACCTGCTATCCTACTCTTGACACAAGGTCACACAATCACAGTGGGGAATTAAACACTGTTTTAGCATTGGAACTTCAAACACTCGCCCAAAAAATGTGATTACAGTACTCTCAACATAGAATCTATGAACAGAATATCACCACGAGCCCTGTCAGCTGTCTATGCCAAATAGAGGGTCACATGTGTGTCTGTGTGCGTGTGGGTAGGTGTGTGTGTGGGGGGGGGGGGGAGCTGACCTGACATGGAAGATCCCAGCAATCCATTGATGAGACACGCTCTAGCTATCAACTCTATAACCTACCATATGTTGCACATTGAAGAATAAATTTTATTTTACTTGTAGACAAAAGAAAATAGCGTGACATGAACTCCTGTTTTTGCCATCTGGCAGAGATATTTTGATAAAAATATAAAATCGGTCTCATGGAATCTCTCTCCATCTTCATATCTCTTTCATTCCCTTTTTTTTCTCCCCCAATGTCTCCCTTAAGAGTCCCATAAAACTTCCAGAAACACCTTCCAAAAGGGTAGGGATTATGCAAAAACGACAGTTCTTAACACTGCATCATCTCCATTACAGCATTAATCTTTACTTTTGCCTCAACAAAATCAGGGCAAACAAAATCAGCATCAATCTCTTTCTTTTCACTATGGCAAACCCTATAACAGGGACATTACACAAATCTATTTGGATACTTACATACAAGTCAATACTACTGATCAAATTAAAACTTCAATTTTGCATTGGGTTAACACTACAACAAAAACAGTCTAAGGTGGCGGTTTAGAGCCGGCGTTCTTTAAGTCCGCCGCCTTAGAGAGAGCTAAGGTAGCGTTCTCAAAAAGACCGCCGCTTGCAAAACTAAATTAAAGAAAAAGTATAACTGGGCAGCGGTCTTTGGCACCTGGCACGAGACTTTATTATTTTGAACCGGATTTGAGCCGGTCTAAAACCAATTATTCTATTCCGTTTTTTAGGGTTTTAGAAGACCTACGGAGGAGGGAAGATAGCAGGCCGCTCTCACAGCAATGGCGAGGATCAAGGTTCATGAGCTCAGAGGAAAGTCGAAGGCCAAGCTCTTGAATCAGTTAAACAATCTGAAAGCAGAGCTAGCGCTGCTTCGAGTAGCTAAGGTCACTGGAGGAGCACCGAACAAGCTATCCAAGATAAAGGTGATAAGGTTGTCAATTGCACAGGTTTTGACGGTGATTTCTCAGAAACAAAAAGCGGCTCTGAGAGAAGCCTACAAGAAGAAGAAATTCATGTCGCTTGATCTTCATCATTGGTTTAGAGCTCCATTCAAGCGTTGTTCAGGCATAACTGTATTTTTGAGTGTGAAACCGCTCTCTCTCTCTCTCTCTCTCTCTCTCTCTTTCACTTCTTCCTCTCCTCTCACTCTCTTCACCCTGAAACTGAATACCCTTCCCTTTTATTTTAGGGTTTAGAGCCCCCGTATGGCTTCTACATTTTAAGTTTAGGGTTTCCTATGCCTCTCCTTATTAGGGTTTATTGGATTCGTGCAGGACAAGCTTCAGCATCTGGCGGGACAGCAGCCCGATATTCTGGAGAATCTACTGCCCAAGGTCAGGAAGCGCGTCAAGGTTCTCAGAGGGATCCAGGTTTGTCTGTTTTTTTGCCACTCCGATAGTTCTGCTTCTGATTAAATAAAAATGCTTCGTAAGTTGTTTCGATTTCTAATTTTTTTATGGATTTATTTCTCACTATTGTTAATTTATTGGAGTTTATATTAATTACTCTGATTCCAGCAATATGTGAGAAAAAGGTTGGTTGGTTAGATTCATTTGATTCAATTTGTATAATTGTCTTGATTGTTACATTTTATAACATGAGATGAAAAGTTTATAGCTTTTTTCTTTTTGCATTTTATAACAACCTCTTGTTATTGTACATTTTTTATTGAACATTACGTATCGTTTTGTGGCAGAGGATTATCATATGTGTATGCATGTATGATTATTAGTTGTGTTTGTCTAGGTTAAATTGGGTAAATAATAGTTGACTAGGAAGTCTGACATTATTGTTGATATCATTAAAGTCATGTCTTTATATTCTTTTTCCTGATTGATGACCCAGAGGAGTCTTTACTGTTGTTTGTTGCTTTTCCAGGGGATCATGTTACTTTAATTTTTTCCTTTTTGGGTTTCAATGAAAAGAACCACGTAATATTTATTAAATTTTATTAAGTTTCTATAGTATAACATCCTAATCTTTGTTTGATATCTACGTTGTTGGGAAAAACAATGTTAAAGCAAGCCATATCTTGTCAAGAATAAACAGTGCTTATATTCCCTTGCTGCATGTGGAATTGTAAATTAGCCTCGTACTCTTTGGTGTAATTTTGTAGGTGAATGGCTGCACTGGAAAAATGGGAAAGGCAATTATAGAAGCAGCAGTTTCAGCAGGACTTGAGTTAGTTCCTGCATCATTTAGCAGTCCAGAGGAAGCTGGTCAAGTTGTGCAAGCAGGTGGGAAAGAGATTCAGATATATGGTCCTCCTGAAAGAGAAGGTGTTCTTGCATCACTTTTTTATGAACACACGTGGACTTTACTGTGCCTGCTGCAGTGAATGGTAAGTTTTTATGTTTCTTTCTTCTAGAAACTTGTTTACTATGAATATGTTCCTTGTACTGGTGTCAAAACAATATAGTACTGATCAGCACTAGATATTGCATAGGTTTCCTAGAAAACTTATTTTGACAGATAACAATGAGAATATACCGAGGAAAGAAGATAATATGAAGGTTATTGGTTAATTATTTTCATAAGCTTTCTCTTGGCAATTTAGCTCCTAGCAATCCATATACATATATGCTTTGTCAAGATAATTAGATAAATAGGGAAAAAATTTGACAAGCTCCTAGTGATTTGAACCTCCATTGAACATGAAGTGATACGAGTATAAAAGATACAGAGCCTAAAGAGCTAACAATAATGGTGTCAACCTATTAGATGGGATTCTTGTATCCATATCAGTGGCTTGGATATTTGAGAAATCAAGAATAATATCTTTTATGTTTAATATTCTTATTGGTATCTGTATCCAGGCATCATAGATGCTTTAGTAAATAACAAAAGAAGGAAAAAAAAGATGCATAGACACAGTAATTCTTACTTGATTTCATAGCATATTGGTATCTATTCTCATATGTCATATCATTTCATAGCATACCCATTTTGACTTATTCTTACTTGATTTCATTTGTTATACTGCAGATTACTCAGTTTTCCTTTCTCTTTCTGTAGAACAGTAATTTGGCTAATCTGAGTGGTTTACTTTAGCCATATACAATAGAATTTCGAAAACAAATTCTTCAGATTTTTGTGATTTCAGTTAGGTTGGGCTCAGGGACCACCAAAGCCCAATTTTCAAAGCATAGAAGGGTAAAATGACTAATATAACAGTGCCCATGCATGTAAAGAACTGTTGAAACTTGAAACATTTAAAAAATCTATAATACTATGAATAGATTAAAAAAATTAAGCTGGAAAATAGAAATATTCTAGCATTCAAAATAGCTGCATGTATGGTAAAGCTAGCACTGAATGGACAAACCATTTCCAAGGAACAAGAGTTAAAGTCTTCAGAGTTCAAAAGGAATAACTTTAAGTTCTTAGAATGTTTAATCTCTCAACAGTTTCACCAACCCCAGTTAAAGGTGAAAACAGGAAGATGTCTTTTTGATCAGGAAATAACACAAGTAAAATAGAAAATCATGGTCAGAAACTCAGAAAGGCAATAGATTCCCAAAAGAAAAAAAGTAGAAGCAAGGCTGACTTAAGTTGGACATAAAATAGAGTCAAAATGGTAGATATCAGAAGTTTCCTATTTTTTAGAGTTTCATCGGCAGTAAAACAAAACGGGAAGCAAAACACTATTCAAATATAGCAAAAACAACACAAAACGAATTGCAACCATTTTGGGCTGAAGTCAATTTACTCTGATCATCTGAAGTAAAACAAAATGTGAAGAAAAGCACTATTCAAATATAGCAAAAACAACACAAAATGAATTGTGACCTTTTTGGGCTCAAGTCATTTACTCTGATGGCATCAATCATCATACAACATAATTGGAACCAAAGTTGAAACTTCAAAGAGCCTCTATGTACATAGTTTTGCTTCTCTTCCATTAATTTCTCTCAACAAATTCACATGGATTAGCCCGTAACTCATACTTTAATTACACTGACCAAAAGGTAATTGGTGAAACCAGGGACCTTTCATATGAAAATGTCAGAGAAAGGTTTCTCCCAAATGCTATGTTTGGTTTGATAGAAATAATAGAGAATCAGAAAGTTGAGGAAAAGTACTTGACAAATTTTGTGCAATTCCTTAAGAAATTTGCCTCAAATTTCTATTTCTTTGATATTTTCTATCAAGCTCAAACCAAACACAGCCAAATGTTTTTACTCATAAAGGTTCACTCAAAAGAGTTCACATCTGCTGAGACTGTGGTTGCAGCACTCCCTTGCAACCCCCTCGATAAAATGAGAACACACCAGCATTTGCAATAAATTCAAGACATCACATCAACAGATTTTTTTTTCAAAATGCTGATGTGTCCGTATTACAGTGGGGATCACATGGATCCCTGGTCACAATAGATATTTTCTTGACTCAAAAGTGCAATGACTAGAATCTATCAAGATGACTTATGACATGCTTAACAATCGCATTAGTCTGAATGAGTTTACTGAGGGTTCAAAACTAAGGAATTCACATCTAGTAGACTAGTACCTTGACTAATAGATTCTATAAAGGAGAGAGACCAGAGGATGTAGTCCAGAATGATCCATCCCGTAGAAGAGAGTGACCATGTTGGGAGACTCTAGAAAGGAGAAAACAGAGGATATATACAGTTTAGATAATTGCATCCCATGGAAGAGGGTAACCGGTTCATGGATTCTATAAAGGAGAGATCCACACATCAATATCACAGAAGAGAGATGACTATGGAAATCAGATTCCTGTTTACAAGGAAACTTGGAAGTTTGATGTAAGACCAAGCCATGACCACGATGACCTCTCGTCTTTTGAGTTCGTTTTTTTTTCTTGGTAGCTACCAAACAATAGAAAAATAAGAAAAACTATTTTTATGAACAATTTGTTTCTCCAATCAAACATTTTCCACTACAAAATATTACTTGGGTAACCAACTGCAGCATAAGAAGCTGTAGAAAACCATCTCTGCATGTTAAGCATTGCTGCCTACAATGAAGAAACCAGAAAAAACACAAGTAGTTGCAATGAATTCTCATGAGCATATATAAGACTACGAGAGTTTCCACAATGCTTATCAACAGTTTATAATTTGATTAAGCAGTAGTCAAGGAAATAATTGCATTGAAAACGAAAAGAAGAAAGAGAATAGATCAAAGCAAGTAGGAATCAATCAAACCTTATCTTTCAAAAGATTCTCATTTAGGATATCTTCTATTTGCCAACTCAGTATAATATCAACAAGTTCTGCCTTCTTTTTCACCCGATCCATCTCCAGCTTTTCAATCTGACAATCCAACCGATGAGCCAGATATCAAAAGATCCTACCAAACAAACAACAGGGAAACAACACAGAAGCCATGAAACCACTTCTTCTTACTATAAAAACCCTCACATAAGATTATTAAAGCCAAAAAAGAAAAAGGATTTCTTACAAAGCGCCAAACAAAGTCGAGAAGAAGTTTCTTTAATGGTGGAAGGATGAGAAGTCGCACACAAACTCAACCGGCGTCACCAAAAACACCCAGAAAACGCATAGAGAACTTCAAACAGAAGAGGATATGCAGACTGCAATCATAGAATTCGAGATGTGGATTGAGGAAGGAACACGAAAAGGTACAACTACCGAGACTGAGGTGACCATGAGTAGACGTTGGTAGCTTTTCAACTTCCCGCTTCTTCACTCATTGTTTAAGTTGTTCCGCGCGTGCATGAAAGCCTTCGTGCACGTATCAACATTCAACAGCAACGTAGATCATAGAGTCTTTAGTCTATACACTTTGGTCGAGCCCAGAGACGACGCCTCCGCTGGATTTAGGCCACTGTATCTTCGCCACTTGTTCATCTCAATAAATAAAACCGCTGTCAATAAGTTCCATAGGTCATGTCAATCTCAATAGGCTTAAATTTCCGTTCATTTTGCTACTTATATGGCAGCTGGTCGAAACCGTGCGATTTACGGGTTTTATGAAGGAAATTTTGAAACTATTAATCGTACCTAAGTCCAGATAAATCTTTTTTTTTTTTTTGTATTTACCGTATGTTTAGTTTCGTGGGCGTTTATGTTTATTTGCACAATTTCATTTTAAATGTTTTTTGTTTTTTATTGTTTGATTGGGCATTACATTAAATGTTATTTGTTTTCTATCTCAGGTTAGCATTCATAAAAATATGTCACATTAGTATTTTGTTTCAACCCAATGGTGTTGGGTGAAATAAAAATTTGGTGTTTCTCTCAATGCCCTATTCACAAAATTCATAGTGTTTGAATGTTTATTTGATAAATAGTGAAACAGAATAGGAGTTTCATATGTAATAAACGCCAACGTCTACGTGGCCGGCCCTTTGATGTAGTAACATTTTTTAAATGAACACCCATGGAACCAAACATCACCTTATTTTATTCTACCACGATTCAAGTTTCACTACTAATTTTCAATGTTCTAGATAAATCTATATGCTAAATTTTTGTTAATTTTATTATTATATGATTCGTAATTTTTTATCAATTTTAGGTAAAAATATTTTTTATCAAAACATATTTGGTTTATAATTATTTTTTAATGAAGTTGGTTAAGGATAAATTTAGTATTCAAAAAAAAATAATGCATTACATCAATATTTTCTATTTCGAATGCTACCATAAGGAAAATACCTGCACCTTTTTTCAAAACAATATGGAGGTTTTGATAAGGCAAAAACAAATAAATTAGCATAGCTTCGTAGGATTGTCAATGTGGTTTTTATAATTCTCCCTATTTTTAAATAGAATTTAGAGTTGATTCTAAATTAATTAAACTATATTTAAGTTTAATAAATTTCTAATAATCATTATTAAATTTATTTAATTATATTACATTTTTATATTTCAACAAAATTTAAGTTCATTCATAAAAATTAATTATAAAACTAATAATTGTTAGATAGTTTTGTATTAGTTGTATATAAATCTTAAATGATATTAGTTTTAATTTATCTTATTACATTTTATTAATTTATTTGTTTTTATTATATTAATAAAAATATTTTTTGCAAATAATAATAATTAATTATTTTTATTATAGTTATTTCAAATGGAATGTAAATGGATTATAATTTTTATAATGTTTTATTCAATGTTTTTAACTCGCCATTAACTCAAACGATTAAACCATTCGAACTATAGCTCAGCCATATTTCTAATTTTGGGCTTCTTAAAACTTATTATTTTATGAGAAATCATCGATTTGGTCAAAGCTTGTTCAACATAGGAGGTTGAACCATTAACCCTTTTGATGTAGTCTTTAAGTCATCGGTTACAACATGAAATGTATTTAAAACTTCTAGAGGATATTTTGTGCTTAATTGTCTTATAGGGTAATCTTTTTTATTTTGGGTAACTTTCGATGGCCTTTGCAACCTTATTATACAAAAAATAAAAAACAACTCTTTTTTGTGTCAAATTTCAACTTCTTATTATTTTATTAATAAAAACTAAAAAAAAATGTATAAATTGAACCTAAAATAATATATACACACAAAATGTAATTATATTATATCATATTATACATATACAGATGGATTGTGTGCCATGATTTGATTTGTCCAAGATGGACAGTTGAACCGCTGACCTGTGACCTATTACCAAAACTACTCAACCTCAAAATCGATTTTTAAAACACTGGTTTTATTTGTTGAGTAAATTAAATAATATTTATTATAAAATCTAAATTTCTTAATTACTTAACATAAAAACTAATGATCTTTTAAATTGAATTAAATTATTTATCCTAACAAACTATCATTGAACATCTCCATTTCAATACAATTATTTTTTATTGATAAGTCAAAAATAACTAGAAAAAAGATAATTGATTATCAAAAAATAACCAACAATCAAGAGAAATCGTTGATGTTATTTTTAAGGGTAAATTGATGAAATCTCCCATGAACTTTTTGACCATTGTTGAAACCTCCCCTAAAGTTTGGTGATTTTAATTACCTTCCTTAAATTGGAATGCAGTGTGGTCGAGATCATATTCCCTGTCCTCGACTCCGATTTTGAAATTAATCCCCGTCTTTGTCCTTGATCCCTGGTAGACCTATTCATGGGCCGGGCCGGGCTTTCACTTGTCATTAAGGGAAATATGCTAGGCCCAAGCCCGAGCCCGAAGCCCGACCTAAGAAAAAAAAACAAATTTCCCTATTCAAATTAGAATTAAAAATTCAGATAGTTTTTTTTTCCTATTTAAATGAACAATGGGCCTACAAGATGGTTTTTCCCCTTTATTTTATATTTTAAAACACATTTTTACATTGTTAAATCAAAAAATTTATTCAAATGGACATAATCACATTACTCACTTTAATTTTAATAGTAGGTCGGGCCGAGCTGGCCCGTTGGGGACCCAAATCCCCAAAATGTTTTTAGTTAGCAGTATTTTTGAAAAACAAATTTCCTTAAAAATAAATAAAAATTTCAAAATATAAGTAATGTTTCAAATATGTTTTGATATATAGAAATAATATATATTTAATATATATAATCGGGGTCGGGGCGGGGCAAGGACTTCAATCCCCATCCCCAACCCTCACCTCGACCAGGGATCCCTATTAATCTCCATCCCTGTCCCCATCCCCGCCCCGCCAAGGTAATCCCCATCCCCAACCAAATGGGATTAGGGAAGTTAGCTCCCCATGGGGGATGGGGAAATTTGCCATTCCTAACCCTAACTTTGTTGATATAGTTGCAAGTAGACCCCCTTTGGAAGGATCCTTCATAAGAGGCATGAAAAATGTCTAAAATACCCATGCAAGAGGCTGGTTTATATGGAAAAAAGCAATACAAACTTTATTAAAAACAAAAAAAAACACTGAATTTAAGTTGTAGCTTTACCTTCAAATGATTTATATGAAGGGTGAGTTTGGAAAATAAATCAATTTCAAAAAAAGAGACTATAAGGGTTTGAGCTAGCGATTCATACGAGGAGAACATTGGGAAAATAAATTTTGATGAAAAGTAACTCCATTAGTATTTTGGATATTTCATGCCTCTGTTTAGATTATTCTAACAAAGAGGGCCTACTTTCAACTATGTCAAAAAGTTAAAGAGAGGTGATTGCAATTACCAAACTTGACCTCAACCCACCCGCTTTGATTTGCAAATTCACCACATTCAATATTTTTCTTTAAACACAAAAAAAAGGTTTAAGAAGAAAATAATATAAAATTTACAGCAAAAGGTCAAATTCTCAAATAAAAAACTTAAAAAATATAGAAAATATATAAAAATGCATACATATATATAGTAGGCCCCATGCAATGCACGGAATTGGACTTAAAACTTATTGTTCTACAGAGCTACACAACCCAGGGGTAGGGATGGCAATTTTCTCCATCCCTACCAAGTACTCGGCCTCCCCGATTTGGCAGGAATAGGATGGAGATTGTCTTAGCAAGAATAGGGTGGGGATGGAATTAATAGAATACCTGATTGGGGATGGGGAGTTAAGTCCACAACTCACCCCAACCCCGATTATAAATATTACATATATGTGTATATGTAATTTAGTAAATATATAATATTATTTATGTTATTTATAATATTTTTATATTATATATATCAAATATATTTAAAATATTATTTACATTTTTATATTATATATATCAAATACATTTAAAATATTATTTGCATTTTAACTTTTCCTTTCTTTTAAATAAATACTTTTTCTAAAGACAAACTTTTAATTAAAAAATTTAAGGATTCAGGTCTCCATGGGGAAGCCCTCTCTATTGAAGATCGGGGATGTAGGCTAAAATTTTTGATAGGGATTAATTTAAAACTCAAGGTCGGGATGGGGAGTATGATCCCTGCCCATTTCCATTCCTACCCTAGGGTCATCCCCTTAACCTATAACACCCCCCAAACCCATAAATATAGTTCCATAAATTATAGTAATTACAAATGGAGTATTCGATACTTATGGGAATTATTGAAAATTTCCAAATATTTATTTGAAAATTTGGAAGTTTTATAATTTAAGTTTCACTAACAAAATCACTAATTATTTATAAAAAATTATAGTAAACATCAAATTTACTAAAAATATAAAAAATATTTTATATTTATTGAAATTAATTTTAAACTAAAAAAATTACTGAGATTTTTTAATTATTATTTACAAAATCAATAAATATTAATAAATTGACCAAAATTACTGAAAACATCAACAACTACTTATTGCTAAAAATTAATAATAATTTTTAATTATTAAGTTTGTACTTATTAATATTTTAATTAATTATTATTTTTTAGTAATTATTTATTTCAATAATTAATTTTTAAAAAAATCTGAAATTAAATTACCAAAATCGGTAATTTTCAACAAGTAATTATTAGTAATTAAAATTTTCAATTTACCAAAATTACAAACAATCATAGTTTTGGTGTTGATATTTTCTAAATAATATTCAATAATATTAGTAATTATTGAAAATATAAAAAATATTTCACAATTTAATTTAACTACCCAAATTAATTTAATTAATTAATTGACCCAAGTTTTTGGTTTTTAGATGGTTCATAATATAGATTAAGAGGTGTTTTAGGAAGAATTTTATATGGGAGAGATTGTATAGGAGGGGGTTTAGCTGTTGGGTAACTAACATGAGATAGATAGAGAGAGAGAGAGAGAGAGAGAGAGAGTTGGAGTGGAACTCTAGTGAAGAAGAGAGGGCTGCCACGTGGCAATATAGATTAAGAGGTGTTTTATGAATAATTTTACATGGGAGGGATAGTTTAGGAGATATTTTAGGAGGGATTGGTTAAGTGATTGAAAACATGAGGGCTGCCATGTGGCTATATGAAAGGTCTAGGAAGGGGT